ATATATATATATATATATATATATATATATATATATATATATATATATTTGTATGTATAATCAGAATGTTATGTTATGTGGAGGATGGATGGATGGATGGATGGACGGTAAATGGTTAATGTACACATCCACAAATAATACGTATACAGATGATATATAAACAGATGACAGAGATGGAATAACCTTTCGGAAATTAAATTGGGATTCGTGGTAAATCAATAATATGACACGAGAACTATAATAATAATAACAAGTAAGAAACAAACTACCAATGTTTAGTATGAGATGATAGAATTTAAAGAGCACCAACGCTGATTATCATGGCTGTTGCTGTTTAGTCGATCCAGTAACCAGTAACCAGTTTCTTTCACTCATCACTTCTGGCATATGACGTCACATCAACACATTCCCCTCATATTATTTTATTACAATACGAGACATTAATATTTAGTCATATAGCAATGTATGACTGGTTCAGTTGTAGGCTATATTGCCATTAGTCTGGCTGCTGTGATCAAATTTATATATCAGTATTTCCCCGTCAATTATCGTACCACGCCAAGAAAAAATAAATGTCTACTGTCAGGATTAAATAACAAAAAACAAAATAATTTAATCTGAATTCTCAGTTTATTTTATTTTATTATTTTATTAGTCATTGCTGATGAATCGTAATGATAATAATGATAAAAATTTGTAATTATTAAAAACCCTACCATTAAATAGTAACAATAATCTTTAAACATTTAAGGGTTCTGGTTTATTACCACTACTGTTGTAGTTTTTTATTGTATTTATCGAGATACTTATACTGTATAACTATGTTGGGATGTCTGTCATGTTATTTTATTATATTGTAGTCAGCGGTGTCTATTTAAAAGATAAAATATTGCTCATTTTATTTTATTTTAAAAATTACAGGAAACTATTTATTAGCTATTAGCCTGGTCTTTAAAAAATCAACGTTCTGTTATATACTAATATTAGTTTTGACGATTTCATTTTGTTCGTTTGTTGTGACATCTGACAACCCCGGAAATTTATGAGTTATGACTTGAGTTTTCGCTGAGGAAAATTAAAGTGAGAAAAAATAGGAAGTACTATGGACGACCCGGTATTTTTCGAGATGAGAAGAAATAAGTTACCGGTGGTGTGCGTTCTCCGAGGGGCGCCGGAATTTTAGGGGATACGGACACGCTGAACACAATTGAAACTTTAAAGTCAACGAGACTATACTGTGACTAGTCGAACTACCACGGGGAATAGAAACTCTATTTATATTTCTGTACCTATAGCTACACCGACACTTATACCCTTGTACAATATAATACAAGACCTTTATGTTAAGGTCCTCTCAAAACAGTAAAACTATTTTGACCTCGAGTTTAGATAATTTAAATGTTTTTTTGTTTTCACAAATACCCGAGCCTTCAGCAATCCGCTCCTTTTTTTATTGCGCTTTTTTCTACAGGAAAAAATCATCTGCTGTTATTGCTCCTGCAAATAGTTAAAATTTCCGTGCCTAAGGGTGCTGTAAAATGGACGTAACATCTCTTACTGCATTGTAATCGGAAAATGTTGTGTAAAAAACAACAACCAGCTTACAAAAAATGTGCCTCTATATTTCCTACACAGTATTAGAAGAGTGCAGCAAATTGCGGGTTTAAAACCTCGCTATAAAAAACGCTTTTTATTTGACTCAAAAACTCAACTCTTGAGCTCTTGGATTTTATTATTATTATTTTTTATTTTTTTAAATAAAATACAATCCGAATTAACTTTACTTTGTTCGTCCATGTGCTGATCCTGATGAAGGGGTAAAAGTTTAGCAGTTTGTGTATCGAAATGAAGGTAAAAGCCTCACGGTCTTGCTGCTTTTAGTGCAACGACAGCTGCTTGCGTATATCTTTCACCAAGATCTCTCACACATCGCGTATAAACCCGATGATATCCGTTTACTCGTATGCTTCACTACCCTTTTACTTAACTTTGGTACATACTCGTACTTATACTTATACAGCCACATCCTCCAATAGAAATACATATGTACAAATTGTATACAGAGGATTACATTTATTGCACGCCTCATAAGCGAAGCGTTGAGGTTGTGCTCTACTCTCGACATTTCAAAAAAAGCAGTTTTCTCGAAACTGAAATTGATTTTTTGTTATTTATATCGCACTTACAGGTTAATATGAGTACACTTATATCAAGTCGAATAATTTGTCAGGCACATAAAATATATTTCAATAACAATTTTTTGTTCAACATAGTAAATAATAACATTTAACATAATTTTTTCTGGACGTCCGTGTATGGATGAGTGTATGTGGCAGGGAAATTGGTCGAAAAAATGATCGTACCGGAACAATTTTTTTTTTATTATCTAAAGTAACACACGAAGGATTCCCCTAATTAATATGAGCGTTCAATTCACTGTCGTTAAATTATTATCTATAAAAAACTAATATATGACTGTGGATTTTTTTATATATCTATCTACACATTTTATTATAGTATTTTTTTTCATCACCTTAGAGTTATGGCGCCACTAAACCATAGCAAAGTTTTCTGTTTTTTATTATTTTGCTTTTTATCTTTTATTTTTTATAGTATTTTTTTTCCTCACCTTAGAGTTATGGCGCCACTAAACCATAGCAGAGTTTTGTTTTTTATTATTTTGCTTTTTATATTTTATTTTAATCAATTTTATTGTGAAAAATGAGATTATGAGGCGTGCACTTTTGGATTTTCCAAACTTTTTATTTTTTTTATTTAATAAACTGAAAATTTTTGAAATTTTCTATCAATATTAAATATATTAACTATTAATAAAAAAAAATATCAAATATGTCCAAATATCTTTAGTGGTACATTACAAAAAGCTTCTCGACAACTCAAAACTCGAAAATGATTATCTAAATATTATCGGATATTATTTTTAACATTTCCTTTACTTATACAACGAATACATTTCACCAAGACGTCATAGAGATACACATTTATATATCTAGTATGTAGTATGTAGTATGTGCATGGAGTTTATTATTCTTTTCCTTGTTTCTTATTCATCTATTCGTCTGCCTCAACATCCTCGTATCGAGCAAATAATATTTCTGTAGCGTTTAAATCAACACTTATAGTTTTGAAAAGGTATTTATACCCGGTATTTATAAATCTTTATTATTAATTTATCATTTTTCTTATTCTCATTCTCATTCTATCTGGCAACATTTGTTTGAACAAATATTATCACACACAACAGATAATATTTAAGGAAGGCATTAATTAACGAAAGCTAATATTTGGACGAACTTTTAATTTTCGAGCAAGTTTTAGTCTTTACTTGCATTGCCTTAGAACACCACAATTATAAATATATACAAGTCTTATATACAGTATATAAGATCGAGCTGTTTACAATTTGTAATCGGGATGTCTACCTGCTTGGCGCTAGCGGTCGCTCAGGGACCATCGAAAAACAACAGTTGACCAGAATAAGAGGAGGCGCAAGAACTAGTCCTTCTTCTCTTTTCGTCTTTCCTCACTTCTGCTCTTGATACTCTTCTTAGTGTATTTCTTCTTCAGTGAGAATATCACCAATACAAATACAAATACCAGTACCGATACCCGTTTTATCATCATCTATACCCTAATGCTAACCTCAACCTCTTATTCTACTTTTTATTTATCTTACTTGTCTCACGGTCAAGTTGACAGTATTTTTGTCTGGGTTTGGTACACGAGACACCTTCATTACTATACACTGGATACTACATACCTATACCTATACCTATATCGCGAGAAGCATCAGGCAAAGGGAAGTACCTCCATTCAGAATTCAAACTCATGAATACCCGCTTCTCGCTTTTATTACATTAACTACGAGCATACATACGCCGAGAGTTATTCTTTATATTCATGAAGGATACATTGTACTGACCAATTGATTTTACTCATTGTATTTAATTCTGTTACTATGACTATTATACCGTTAGTTAATTTATCATTTTAACAATACTGTAAACCCTTCTCTGTTTTTTGATACAGAAATTTTTGATTCAAGGGCTGAAAAATTTTTTACAAGTAAATTTTGCTGAAAAAAATTTAATGTAAAAACTTCAGAATAGGTAACTGTTCATATTTTGTATAAAAAAAAAATTATTGATGTTAATGAATTAAATGATTTTTAGTTCAAAGAAAATTATAAATAGCTTTGTAAAAATTTTAATTAACTAAACTTATATTTTTTTGTAAAAATAACAAATTTAACAAAATAGTATTGAGGAAGTAATAATTGCAAGGAAGCCCTGAATTAATTATTAGAATGACCCGAAAAAAAGTATACAATTTAATAGACAATATCAAGTAATCCCACTTAGATTTGATTATCTTCCGGCGTATTTCCGGGCGATAAAGCGGCTATCTGAGTCTTGTCTAGCAGTTACACCGAGCTACACAGTCGTAGAGACATACAGACATACGTAAACTCAATCTCAATCTATGCACGTACGAAATCCGAAGGCGGAGGGGCACACCAATTAAGTGGAGGCACGCGAGGGAAATCGCTTAAACCACTACCGCGATGCTATCATCCTTTCCACCCCCCTTAATACTCTAATTACCGGTAGATCTAATTATTTAAGTATTTATGTGAATTTCTGTTGGGTGTTTCAGATCAGGGCAGAGAAACCTTACTACATTGCTGACCCGGAGGTGGATTCCTTGGTAAGTTTCTTTTTTTAATCACACTGTTATTCGTTTTATTCGAAATTAACAATTACTGGTCTTTAGAAATTGAAAACTGGCAAAATTGTAGATAAGTTTTTGACTATATAAATTTATTAAAATTTAGTATCATTTGATTTTTAACATCTGTCAGCTTTGTGCTTCAAAATTGTCATTGATATTCAATTTTATCAAAAAAAGTACTTAAAGTTTTTCCAGGACGTGTTATCTTTTACTATTTTCTAAGAAAACTTGATCGAAAATTCTTTTTGAATACTATTTTTACTGCGTATTACTTTGACTATACGAAGTAATTTTTCAAGTGGGTTTTTTTCCGTACTTCAGCTACTTTTTAACTTTCCCCGATATAAAATACCAGGATATGATTTAATACATCTTGAAGTTGGCTCGAGATCTACAGCGGCCATTTTTTTACCGTACTATAAAGTAGTTTGGTACTGAAAGAACAAGAATAATAATAATAATAATAATAATAATGTAATACAACTAAACTAAGCCGAGTATATATAATAGTAGAAGAAGAAATATTATATATTTAAAGATCTTCTCGAGTGGTTCGATCTAAAAGATAACGCGTGGGAAGTGGGCCTCTTAGGTTATATCCACAGGTACTTAGACTTTATTTTGACTTCGTCATCTCCTCAACGCGGGTCGTATTAATTTTCGACTGATTCAAAAAAAGATAGATTGTCTTATCGGCAGGATACTTACACGAACTGGGATCTCGTTAGCATTGTATTGAAAGAAAAAAAAAAACAGATGAATTTCGTCACGTTTTTAGAAACCTTTTTCTTATTTTTTTTTTTTTTTTTACTTCCTTCGGTGAAACTTTATGAGGAACCGATGAGTCTGAACTTGTGTCGCCCACGTGAGATAATCTTTGGTGTGTCACGACTGTCAGCAGCTGCTCGGGACATGAGAATGTCGGGGCTGTAATAAATAAAATGAACTAAAATAAAATAAAATGTTAATAAAAAACAAAGCATAAAACATAAAACAATTTATAGTAAAAAAATAAATAAATATTGTGTGATTTGCCAGTGTCTTACTTATGCTCGGGAATATGTTTACCATAATGCATCTGTACGGTGCAATATATGTATAAGTGATGCGAGATGCGAAGATGCCACTGGCACGTCTAAGGAAAAACAGATTCCATCTAAATTGTAAAGAGAATAACAGAAAAGAAGTCCTGGATCTGCTGAACCGAATACGAACCAAGTGTCGCGTTTGTTTATATAGAGAAGAAGACCTAACCACTGCAGGGAGAAGAAAGAAGAAGAAGAAGCAGAAGAAGATGGAATCTCGGGGTTTTTATATTAACGATTCGAGTTGAGATAAAGTTAACTGGTCGAGTAGTATTTGAGAGAGAAACATCTCAAGTAAAAGTATCAATAACTGGACACTTATGTTCTGATATCGGACATTTAATGCCGGGTATATTCGTACATTTTTAATTGCATACATTATAAATTGACGATGATGATGATATGGTGAATAAATTGATACGAAAGACTTATCAGCTGATAACTTTTTAAAACCACTACACAGATATAATCCATTATAAAAAAAAAAAAAAATCGTTTTACGACTACTTAAAAACATACTTTTAGTTGCCGCTGTAAATTACTATTTAATTTTAATGACTAGTGTGACACAATATTGCGACAAATTTTGACCAGAGTCAAAGCCTTTTTTCAATTATAAAATATAAAATTGTTATTGGCTAATAAAGATATGAATTAGCATTTAATTTATAAAGTTCGAATATTGCAAAAAAGTAAAAAGTGAAATAGGTATAATATGAATGAATGAACGAACGTGGAGATAAAATGATTTTATTGTAAATTTTAATGAGATATTGAGACATCTGCTGAGAATGTTACTAAAAATATAATTAAGAATAAATTCCGGGTCATAAAAATTGCGCCGCTGACGAATTTTAAAGCTAATGTTTTTTAAATGGAGCTAAAGTACTTTTTTAAAAGTGTAGATGTGTACCGGTGGTTGGTTTCATTAGCTCCGTGGCAAATCGCAATCTGCTTGCAATGAGTTTCTCTATCGTTAAAAGAAGGAAGAGTATGAGCCACGTAGACGCATTTCTGACTTTTTTTACCATCGAAGTTGAGTATTCTTCAGCTCAGTGCTATACCTATCCCAACACTATAACCAGTGTGAGTGCACCGAGCTTGAGGACTGTACTGGTGAAGCGTGCAGCACACCTTTTCATCCTCCATCTGCTCATTTTCTTCCCGGTATGACCCCTGCTCTCTTTTTCTGGAGGCTCTCGCTTGCCGACCTTGTTCATTTCTCTGGACTCAGTAATACGAGTGTCACGGCAATCGAACAAGAACAACTAAACAAGAGCTACTAAAAGACAACAACAAGGATACCTAAAGCTAAGAGTATATAAGAGAATAAGATTATTTTTTGCTCTATTATTTCGCGGAATGGAAAAGTTTACCGGCAAGTAGATTGCTTCTCCGTTTGCCAACTGATCCTATTCGGAAATCCCATTACAGTATGTGCCAGTTGAATTCCTGGATTCTTTTACGGACACTCACCAATACTTAACTCATCTCCGCTTTTCTGCACCACCACCACCACTAGCACCAGCTCTTTTAGTTTTAGTATAACTTTTTTTCAACGAATGACGCATGAGAATCTTTCCTGACCAATATGGTGTCGTCGGTATCGTCGTCAGCAGCGTGACAACCAGATCACGCTGGATAACTCGTTGTCGATCTTGTCAATAACATCTTAAACTTGTCAAACAAAATGAGGATCAATGCAACAGCTAGAATGGATAATAACTGATCAGTAATTTTACAGATTTCGGAACTTTAAATGTTACTTCCCTCCGACTTGACTTCGCGGTGAATCACACATCAAAGTTAACATTACACCACACTAGTTTCAGTCTGCAGTATGTAGTATGTAGTGTGGTTTTAAGTATAAGCTGTAACAGATGAAGCTGGCAGGGTCTGTGGCCTTACGAGGATGGTACTCGAGGCGACACTCAAGGTGGGCGTATAAACCAAGTCGTCTTACTTCTTGTTCTTGTTCTTCCTCTTGAGGTTCTTTCTCCAACTCGTAAATACATACACATGTGGTCTCTTTTTTCCCATAAGTAACTCCTCTCTTCTTGGTCTTTTCATCCGTGCAGCGACGTCGTAAACGAAACGAGGGAAGCCGCCAGGAAAGAGCAAAACGATTGGGACACACACAACCTGGTATCTGGTATCCAGATCCTCAGTGCTCACAGAGACCGTCATAGTAGTAAAATAAGAGTTTACTTGGATGAATAACTAAATAAAACAACAAAAGAGCTCGTCTTAAATAAGATTCCTATTAGCATACGCGAGAAATTACCCAATGAGATGCTAATTGTCGGTCTTAGGCTGTAAAAATAATTGCTCCTGGGACCTTCCTCATATCATCGTCCTGATCATTTTTCTTGCTCATAAAATCCTTGTAATTAGTATTGTCATGCAGATTTTTGTTAATTTTTATTTTCTTAACAAAAAACTGATGTTGATATTAAAATTTTTTCGACATATTAAAAAGCTGGTCGTTGATAACGTTGACGAACTCTGAGTCTGGAATTCAATGTAACCATCCAAAACAGATTTAAGATGCTCCTCGTTAAATTTCTAGGGACATATCAATTTCGATAATTGACCTCTGACTGTCTCATAAATCAGTTGACGTCTCTTCATCCAGACCTCCTTCATTTACATTATTATGATCATCATTATTATTATTTTTTTTTTTTGGCTCTCAACTTTCGATTCTTGAATCTTGACTCTTCAGAGTATACGGTCACGGGATACCAGAGACAAAAAAATTTAGTAACTGATAGAGAGTCACAGTAACTTGTAACAGTATCCTCACACTCAAGGATATTCATGAGCCAGAATAGCCATACATATGTGTGTAAGATGAGGGCGATATTGATCCAATGAGCAACACGACACAATCGGTTTTCACCGACTCAAAAGTGTGTGTATCGGATGAGTTTCAGTGTCATGGTAAAGGCCCAGTTCCTCTCAGGATATATGAGTATGAGTATGAGGATGAACCAGAGCCACCAACCAGCAACTGATGAGAGGGAGATCGATGAAAGACCGCGATGGACATGTCGAGCGACAACTCGGGTGGTCCTCGCGCCAGGACTCGTCCTTCGGTCGCCTCTTCGCCGGGAAAAAACGCCTTGGGATTCGTCTCGGCTGGCGCAAAAATTAACGTCTCCGTCTTAACTTATGCTGCTAGCTGATAGACTCTGCTTATATATGTTATGTGTGTTATGTATTACATTAAGCTGCCCGGGACGTCTCCTGTCTCCTAACTCCTATGTTTTTCTCCTCTCATTTGCCATTGGGACCATCGCAAATAAAAGATACATGCATGCACAAGCACACACATATTCATACATCCAAGCTAATGAGCGAAATCAACGAGTCTCCGGAGTAAAGGGTGGTCCTCACCTCGGTTATAATTTCAAAGCGACGGTTTTAGTGGCTCTCTTTCTTTTCCATCAACCATAATACATATTACTTTTGGCTTAAATACTCGAGGGCTTAACTAGCATAACTAGCCCGCTGAGTGCAGCCGACCGAGCAGAGGGAAAGAAACTAAAGCCCAAACCCGTACCGGTTTAGGTTATGCACTGCAGAAACTGAAGAAAACAAGTAAAGAGACAAGAGACTTAATTGTGTATGTAGAAAACAACTTGCACAAGAGTACCGGGAGTGACTCCTCCTTTTGGGCTTGTTATGGCCCTCGTTAAGACGTTAATGTCGCCGAAAATATTCACAAAAATGCAGGTGCATACCACACACATCCACGTGGTTCATCAGCGTCTAGTGTTTAGTTGGTTTATTTGAGTACGAGCCTCTGCGCCATTCTTTTTGAAGCTCCATTCGTGGCCCGTGTAATAGGCGCGAAGATGCTTCCTCTTTTCTCTCTTTCAGCTGACGCTTTGTACTTTATTTTTTATTATTTGAAATCCAAAATGATGCAGCTAGTCTCACGAGCAGAGAGGAGACTTTATGACCATAAATCTCTGGCTATTAAGACACACTGCTAGAACGAAGCTTGATGGCCCGTACAAATTACCTCATGTGGCGTGTGTGGCTTTCTCCTTTACACTCAACATTCAGCGTTGCTTCAGTATTAATATTCGGATTCCCTAATTTCGTGCGCAAGAGTTGAGTTAAATATTAACTATTGAAGTAATAATAGACACATGCCGGTACCTGCATTGGAGAAAATTCTCTTTGAGAAATAACTTGTGCAATACGGATGGTTATTATTTTCCGTGCTCATTTAAGTGTATTTATAGTTATGAGAATGAGTATGTAAAGTGAGCGTTATTCTATGTATGTGCAATACAGACGTAAATATTGAGTATCGAAGTGTAGCATAATACAGTACAGAATACAATAAATATAAATGTGAAATAATATAGAGACGAGGACAAGGCAAGTCGTAAATCACCGTTCATCGATAAGGGAATAGTGGTCGTGGCGATTCGCGCGAGCCAGTCACCCAGCCAGCACTCTCTACTGTCTCTTCCTCATTGATAATTGATACAATTAACGTTCATTCATTAAGCGACGTCTATCTCGCGCGGCCACGAACGACCTTTTCAGCCGATCGTATAATAACCGGCTGAGAGAAGACTCAGGCACATAAACTTTCAACCGTCTCTTTCTCTCGAGCTAATTTACAGACTCTTTTTTCCACACCACTATACAACTATTGCTTTTATATATTTATATACATATATATATATATATATATATATATATAGATGTTAATGTCAATGTGAAGGTATAGTACACAGCAGTAGAAATCGCTTAAATAAAAATTAAAACATCTTATTTATACTGTAAGGCACACGCGATGTGCGAATTTATTGCGCGATATTTAAGCTCGAATCGACACTCTGAGGAAGCTCGTTAATTATTATATTACACTTACTACTACTGTAATAGTTTATAACACCACTTATGGAGAGAAAGATTTATTTATTAAGAAGTGAGACAGCGAATAGAGGAAACGACAAACGAGGAGCCTTAATATTAAATAATCCAGCTAAACATAAACAGCAAATGCCACTCGTTGAATTGGCAAATTGGTTTATCTGTAATCGATTTTAGTGATTGTTTTTACCGTATATAAATAAATATAAACCGATAACCATTCAAGCTCAGCTCACCAGTTTATTACTGAATCAATACCACATATTATTTTATTTTATTTTTTGTTTTTGATTAATTTTTCATTCAACTATTAAAATACTAGTGCAAGAAATAAATATATATTTATCATCGCCTATTAGCGTTAGTTACAACTATTACATCGATTCTACTGAGTTGCCCGAAGATGGATTTACGACGTCGTAGATTTTCAAGTGCCTGGAAATCGTACGACGTTCACGACGATGCACTTATACTTAACTACACTTAATACATGGACATACACATTCATTTATGTACATATATGTGCAAATACATTTCAATGAGAGTGTATAAGTGTAGAAAATCATCTGTTGCCAGTGCTCAGATCAATCGACAAGCGTGTTAACGTACAAACATAAATACTGAGTACAAAGTATTGTAAAAATAAATAAAAACGCTCAGACATTGTACACAATTACAAGCAGAGAGCGTTCCAACTTTCATTAATTGCCACACATCTCACCTATCGTGTAATTAACGATCAAATCGATGTCTACTGTGCGACAATAGACGGCATTCTCCAACACCCGTATATAACATTTTCATTAAAACATAACATCGATTTATAAATATATATATATTTATCTGAAAGATATGGACGAAAAAAGTGCCAGCGGGAATAAATAAATGAATAAATATTGAATAAAAATAAAATAAAGCAACAAATTGACAAGAAACATGACACATTCTTCAGCTTACACGTCAACAAAAATATTCGCTCAGCGTGACTGGTAGGCCTTATAAATAACACCATCTTAATTTTTATCTTTTTATATTCTCTCTTCTTCACATCTTCAGTTAATTAATATCACGTGATGACCGATCGTGGCAAAACCTCTCGATTACGCCCGGGCGCCTTCTGTTCACGATTCACATACTTCGATATACATATATATGTATATAAATGCCTACTCATACAATCTAATAAATATACATGATTATGTGTGTATATTTATGCACATACGAGATGCAATACGCCCCCAAGTATACGAGAACACAGTGAAGACATTGTACTCGATGCATCGAATAATCTCGGCTCGAGTCCCGCCTGATTCGCGCCTCGGAGTATTCAACATTAAACGCTTTTCATTTACGACGCGAAAGAAACACTGTCTGTTAATTACGAGCATATTTATGTGTCATATCATAAATAATATAACTATAATATCATTGGGAGTGTAAGAAAAATTATGAGGAATAGAGCATACATCAAAGTCTTCGCGGGTGGTAATTCTTACAGCAAGTACTTTTTGAATTAGGCAATCGAGTTGATCAAGTGGGATATCAGGGTTTATGTTCCTCTTGATAAATATTCTGTATGTTTTGCCAATATAAAATACAACCGACTACTGGCTGCATTTCTAGTGGTCATTATTATTTTATATTACATACATTATAACAGTATGTGTACTAGAGACGTTAGACATTAAGGATAAATGATAAACAAAATATACAAATATACAAATGTGTACTTGCTAATTGATAATTAAGATAACTGGCGTCTAATTGAAGACTGGGATTGGCTGGGAAAAAAGCCAGCACTAATGTCTCAGGTCTTATATCGAAGCAAACTATGTTGTATAAGATAGATAATGACTCTGCTGAGCAGAGTAACCACCAAGACCGGTTAGTTATTAAGCAAAGGGTGAATCTCTACTTTGCTATGCCTTATTAAACGTCACGGAGAGTTGGAAAATTATGCAAGTTATTTCTCTGTGCATAAGGATACGCCAGTTTCGTTTTATAATTTTTTTTTTTTTTTTTTTTTTTTTTTTTTTTTTATGGAGAACATACATGTTATATTTCTTCGATACATGCGTATAAGGGTTTTGTGTGTATGTGTGTGTGGAGGCTTACGCGGTGTCTTTGTTCTGTTTGGTAGCAGAGCGTCATGGAACCGTATCGGGCATTCCGCTCGTTCTTTCCGGCGCGGATGCGAAGTCAATTAACGCCGCGAAAAGAAATAAATCGGCAGCAGCGTCATATTTAAGGGGTTTTAAATCGGGTAAAAAACTCACCGACTTGTATTGGGCTAGCACAAGTTCGGCTGAGAGAGAAGAAAAATTTGTAAAGAACATAATTTTTTTCATTAAATTTAATTTCGAAAATAATTGTAATAATTGATTTTTTATTTTTCAGATGGTACAAGCAATCCAAGTCCTCCGGTTTCACCTCCTCGAGCTTGAAAAGGTAAATTTTAATCATTAAATTGATAAGCTAATCAAATAATTAGTCTTAGTAATGATAATAACAATAGAACTTTGATTCAAGAGGGCGTCAAGTGTCTCGTTAATCTAAAACAGATCGTAAATTTATATTCAAGAGGTTAGACTATCACCTTCGGACGTAGATTGTACTAGTTAAGTGTAAACTATACCTGGTATCTTGGAAATATCTGTGTTAGACATGCATTAAACGTTTATTCCCCATAACTATCATAATGGAATTTTTATTTCCGAAGAATTAGATGTAGGAAGTAGAGTTGATTGTGAAGGCATAGTCTGAATATTTGTTATTTTATTTGGTCATATACGTTGGTTGGTTTTATGAAAAATGAAGAAGAGAGAATATCGCCCTCGCGACGTTTAACACCTGGGATTACTGTTCAGACAGAGCACCATCTGTCATGACCAGCAACTCATGAGAAAACTAGTAGAGAAGCCATTTTCCGTAATAGCAGTGAAAGCTCCTGAGATTGAGAAGTTGTTGTTGGATGCTAGATGTTAGATCCTGGATTTCACAGTCCACCTAAGTCTAACTGTTGTGTAGGCCACTCAACTCTTTCGCTTTAAGTACTGTGATTTAGCTGTCCAATGCCCGGCAAAGAACTTAAATTACTTGCATTACTTTGGATCAGACATTTTTATTCAAGTCGGCTCACATTTTTCCGTATTTTCTCCAACAACTTCATAAAAAAACTTCCGCGAATCTGAAGACTATCACTATGACGATCCACCAAATACGGCAGAGTTGCGAGGAATGATTGACGGGTTTCTTCGCTCAATAATAATGATTTGAAGCTGAAAAAAATTCCGTAAAATATTCCAGTAAATTAACATACTCGTACATGTTTATTCGTCCATAGATTACACTTAATGGATTGTTATTTAACAATGAATAATGTTTATAATGGATAATAGAGACCGGGCTGTTATCTATCGCTTTTTGATCGAAAATAACGAAAGCCTCTCTACTCGTTCACCGCTACAAGAGTTTAATCATAATAATAATGATAATAATAATCGAGAGTATCGAGAGCAGCACACACTGTACCACGAAAATAAGGATATATAAGGCAGGATATATAATCGACAAAGCAGCGAGCGGGGATCCAAGAGAGACAGGCTACTGGTCAGCCCGGTTTTATCAGCCAATTTCATACCAATTTTCCTCATTCACGGTGATTATGTTATAAACTGGCGCTGATACCCGCGGCTAAATTCTCTCTATTCGTTCTCTTTCAACCAGCCAGCCTACCGGGCAGCCAACAGCCAGCCAACCGATCGACATCCAGCCTGACAGTGAGGGCCATTGATGGCGACGAATCTATGGGTTGACTTTCAAATCGTTTATATTATATTAACTTTACCATTGAATTACCCATTTCCCATCAAATTACTCGGTACCTATTCTATTGCCTATCACCCATATTTCATCACCCGCTGAAAAATATCGCAATATACTGTAAAATGTACATATATCTAACGGATAATAATATCTACCGAAGTGATTACCGATTATCATTAAATTCACCGTACAGTTCCCACGTTTTTAAATTTTTGCAATTTGTAAAAATAAGGAAACTTTCTCATTTTGTCTATTATATTCTTCGTCCTTCGTCTGATTGCTGAGTTAAATCCAACTGTCCAAGCAATTTGTCACCGTGACTCAGGACAAATAAGGGTAAATTCAAGTCTATAATCCAAATAATGAAAATGAATTTATTCAACTTAAACTATCGACAACATTTTGATTTATCATGATTGAAAGTTCACAGTTTGCAATAGAAATTTTCAAATCTTGGAACTGAACTGCAGCGTGTAGCGTAAAAAAGGCACCAATCAGGATTGGTACGTGTCAGTCTCCCCTTTCGCGATAAAAATGGTTTTTTCCGAGCCAATAGTGTATTAGCATAATTACATTTGACCGGTACTAACCAAGGGGAGCGCCAGCCACGTCGATGCGCTCCAGCGACGTCGTTGGATACTAAGAGAACTTTTGTGCTCCTGGTTGTTCTGGTGGGCTCCACAGACCGTGCAAATATCAGACTTTAAATTCTCTGGGTTGGGCCGTGACCGCCCTGCCGTACAACGCCTCGTCACAAATACTGGACTCTTATAAGTACAACTATAACTCTAGAAACATTAAAATTATCCTTAAAGCATTTCAATTCCTCAGTTGGTCATACCTGGGACGGATCCAGGCTTGCTTTGGAGCTTAGTCCAGAGAAAGCAAGATATATTATTTGCTTGAAGACCCAAGACTTGAGAGGCTCTACTTTACTTAACTTAGCTCATATATACAAATACAAACACATATACATACGTGTATATACACTTCCTTCTCTCGGTCAGTTCCGCGATGCAAACAAACCGGTTTTTGATGCTAAGTCTCCTCTGCAATTTTGCGGTTTACTGTTCAAATGCATGCGTCACGGCAACTCGATCTCCTGGAAAATCAACCGTAACCAGTAAATTTGTACAACAATGTTTTACTTTTTTACTCTCCTGATTTATCAGTCTTACATTTTTTCCCTGCTTAATCCTGGTGTTTCATTTTTTTTCACGTCTTTTGATTCCAAGCAAAATTAAAAGTAAAATGGTTGAAAGATCAAACTGTTGGATCATTTTTATAGCGTCACAGCAATTTTCAGATGATTTACTTCTTGCAAAAGATATCATGTATCCTTTTCACCATTATGTGTCGGCGCGCGATCTTCATACTGTAGTATCGGCTGGACTTGACCAGAAGCCATTGGGGATGTGTAACAGAGAATGCATAGAAGATCCGGATCGTGTGTCTTAAAGTCGATACTATCGTATCATGAGTATTGAATGACGAAATAGTAAAGTAGTCTATATTACACATCGTCAATACACTTTACTTTAGGCGCCAGAAGGATTAAAAAAAAAAAACCAAATTGAAATAAGAAAGTAAATGCATGTCTTCACATTGACGAAAATGAACATAGTTCTAGCAGACAGTAGAGTAATATTAAATATAATGAAAACTTTTGATTGGTAGCAGTCTTAGACAAGATGGCCGACCTCTATTATACATAAATACCTGACTAATAAGAATGGCGTCGTAAGTAACCACCGTTCTACATAGGTAGCGGATAAATAATATACATATTATAATATACATATTATGTATATATAGACATACATACATATACTTATACATATTATACATCTAGAGTTGCATATGCAACAACAATCGACGTGGACGAGTACGCCAAGCGGCGGCATATCATATACTTTGAGCCTCAATCGACTTTGACCAATTTACATATAACAAGATACCTTTTTTCTTTAATAATTTTTTGTCTTTATGTAATAAATTTATTTCTAAGCCTCAATCGAGCGCTCCGGCTGTTGGACGAGGCCAAAGGGACGAAGGCGGGTCGAAGTCCAGGGATATGTCTGTATATATTCGTTCTATAGGTTCTGCTCCGCTCATTTGCATACATAGCATTATGCTCGGCTGGACACCGGTCAAGCCTCTGCTCCTGCTGTTAGCTGCTCTTCTTCTTCTTCGTTTTTTTTTGTCTTTCTTATCCTTACCTTGTTTGCCTGAATTTAAGTCCTCTTTTTTTCATTCGGGAGGATATTTATATTTTTCTTTATTAAATTTGGAGACTTTAAATATGTTTTTTATCATTTTTGAAAGTTGCCATCTTGACTTCATAAATTTGCAAGGATTTAGAGATTATTTTTCAACTTTTTCGGGCAGATTATCCAGCTAGTCATTATTTTGTTGATAAAATGGGTCTCTAAATTACCGAATTGAATATTTAATGATGAAACTTTCTCAAAAATTGACGATAATGATCTAATTTTGTTATTTTTTGTGTGTTCTAGGTCCACGAACTGTGCGACAACTTCTGCCACCGGTATATCAGCTGTCTGAAGGGCAAGATGCCGATCGACCTGGTGATCGACGACCGAGAGAGCTCGAAGCCGCCAGAGCTGGGAAATGGGCTGGATGGTGGACCCCGGAGTACAGCCGACAGCACTAGCCACACAGACGGTGCCAGTACACCAGACGTTGTGAGTACCTCACCATCGTCAACATCTTATTATCCGCACGACGCGATCACCCCCCACCACCATCACAACCACCATCACCATGCCATCGGCAGTACCACCCCCTTGCAATTGAGCCAAAACCAAAGCCAAAATCACCCGTCGCAGCAGTCGAACAACAATAACACCACTACCCCAAGTAGCGCCGCCACAACTCCCAACTCCCATAAGCGTTCGCACCAACAGATGATGATGGCAGCCGCGATGGCCACCTCGCCGCACGCCACCTCCGCGCCCCCTGCGCATTCGCATTCGCACGTCGCCCTGACCGCCTACTCATGCCACTCTTCGACCGTTGTCTATCCGTGTTCGTAATAGATAATTTTATACTTTTTATTTATAATTCATTATTACGTCTTACATCTTGGAATATTTTATGTTAATTACATCTCATTATTATTATTCTTTCTCTACACCGTCTTCATAAAAAAATTTTTTTGTCATAACTTGAACACTGAAAAAAAAAAAAACTAACTTGATTCAAGACTAAAAAATCTTGAATCAAAGAAAATTTCTTAGTAAAGAAGTTTTCTTTTAAATTAAATTAATTTTTTTTTTTTAATAAAACAAAATTTATTATAATCAGCAATTGTAAATATGTAATTTATAAATGATTACTTATGATAAGTAAAATTATTTTGTTGTTAATACGCGAAACAGACGCGATACAAATGATACCAATAAAAATGTTTAAAATTGAAACATTAACAAGCATTAATGTTTTAATTAAAATAAAAAAAAAAATAAATAAACATTTCTAACTTTGAACATCTTGCAACAAAATGATATTCCTTACCTCAAAATATGATTTCACAACAAAAAATCGCTGCATATGTCTCTCCTTTGTTAAAAATACAAGTTATGACAAAAAAAATTTTTTCATTCAGTCTTGCTTTACATAACATTTAGCTCTTTTACATCTGCTCTTTTATTTTCAAAATATCATGTCTACTTTTACGTCTCTCGGGTGTCTCTAATCTTTTTCTCTCTATTTTTTATCCTCTCTCGCTTACTCCTGTACCAACTATAGAGCTTATCAACGCAACCGCAAACCAAAAAAAATTCACAATAAAAAAAAATCATTATCAATTAAAAAAAAAAAAAAATTGAACACGGTTGCGTTAATAAACTCTTGGAAAAAACCTAATTAATCACCAATCATAACCACCATAAATTATCCCTGATTTTTATTTATCCAGTAATAACTCCTTAGATAAATCCTGCTACAGTAAAGCTCCCAACAAAATCCATTAGTATCTATTATATATACCTATATCTTTGTCTGCTCACTGGCGATTGCATTCTAAGCTTAGATCCTGTCTCTCAATACTTGACACTATTTTTATTAAAATAATATTTAAAATAAACAACAACTGGTCATTATTCTTGTCTTGCTCAACAGCTGAAAGGTAGTCACGGCATGGAATGAAATTATTCATTAAACCATTATAAATCTTTTAATTATATTTTTATTATTATCATCATCATCATCACCACTATTTTTATTATTATTATTAATAATATAATATATCATATAAAAAACAATAATTAATTATCAAAACATAATAATCGGTATGGGGCGGTCGTGCCGCGTTGTTAACAGGGTGGTAGTTGATGAGGCGTCGGCGGGAATTTAACAATTATTTAAATATTTATAAGACGGTCGAACGCGTAGGAGGCATCGAGTCTTTCTTATATGGGAGTATATTATAATTAAATACATATATTATCAATCGAGCAACGAGTTTGTTTTATATAGACTTTGATTTTGTTTTTCATTCATTTATTATTATTATTAATATTATAATTATTGTCATTATTATTGATCTAATAAATATTTTAACTGTTAACGATCTCTTGATTATATTAACAACAATTACTTAATTAATAATTGATGATTATTATTATTATTATTATTATTATATTCTAGATTGTTAAAGTTTATATATTATATATGTTAATAATTTAATGTTAAATCTCGTTGCTCGGTTATTTATTACAGTCGATTAAATTATCAATTAATATTTTGTGTATAATTATTATTCGTTGACGGGAATATGAAAAATGAAAATAAAAATAAAAATGAGTGGCGAGTCGATTGACATTTTAAAAGTTTTATAATAATGAAAATAAAATGACATAACAAGTGTTTCGAGACCTAGAGGCATAAAGGTAGACATTATTAATTGATAAATAAAGAAATAAATAAATAAATAATTAAATAGTTATCATTATTTATAATACATAGCAGATTCCGTTGCAATGTTCACTACCACGGTTAGTTAGTTTTTATTTTATTATTTTTTTGCAACGCTGCATGATACAATATGACGTTCAGCTCAATAAGAGACGCTTTTAAATATATAACCGCTGAATAAAATCGTCTGGAATTTAATTATTAAATTAATGAATTAATAAATTAAAATCCACTTTTAATTAGGTAGACTTCTATTTTGTTAATACCAAAGACGATTTTCAGCCAATCGTGATCAGAAAAATACGTAATAGGTTTAAGATAAATAACGCGTCAGATAAATAAAAGTTAATAAAAGCTATTTTTAAATAAATGAGACTCAAAATAAAAAAAAAATATATAAATAAATATATTGAGTATGAAAGAGAAAAGGGCCACTGAATTATTTCTATAGATAAATTATTAAGTGATTAGCGTTACCAATTAATTATGGATGAATAAAATGAATGGTTATCTTTATGAGAATGTAATTTTTCTTTATCCATGTGGAATGAGTGGAACGAGAATAATCAAAATGATTTATAAATATAAATATATAAATATAAATATTTTATTTTAAAGTAACTAAATAATTAAAATGACATTGCATTTAATTTTTTCGTGTATATATTTATCCTACAAATAACAATACTTAACTAAGAGTGAATTGCGAATAAATAATGATTGTATAAATTAAATAATAATTATAAAATATAAAAAAAAAAGCGGCCCGAAACTGCGTATCCATAAATGTTATTATACTAGGTCTCGGTACTCGTAACTAGGGAGTTGTGTGAGGTACACGTCCTGGCCGGCAGGGCGCGCGAGGTCCACCCCCCTCCCCCGTACTTGAACCCCTTGACTTGTAGAATGAAATCTAAATAAAAAATCTATATTTAATTATTAATTAATTAAATATTGCTGAAAATATTTATTGTGATGCTGCCAACCTGTGGTGCCCCGTGGTTTATTAGATAATTATTAATGATTAATATATTAATTACAAAATATCAACCTGCACCCCCGAATAAGTTTCCATTTATTTTAAAATTATTTCATAACATAAGCTACTTATATATTTTTACATTTAAATACTATTGATTTGTTTCGATTTAAAATTTATGTGGTTAAATTTTGAGCATGCTCCTTCATATCATGGAGGAATTGTTAAATAAATGGGGTGCAGGATTCGGGGTATCATGGAGCAGCAGTCAGGGGATCACTTGCGTCTATTTATACTTTATTTATAAATATATTTTTTTTTATAATTAATAACTAATTAAAATAAGATAATTGTTGTTTATTAATTTAAACAATAAATATCGATAATGCAATTGCGACGCAAGGCCCCGATTTCTACGAGTCGATGCTTGGATCAAGTACGGAGTTGACGGGGTGAATCTTGGGCCTCTGGAGGCTGGAACCCTAGTTACGAGTGCCGAACCTAGGGCCGAGATTCGTCTCGGTTTGTTGTTTTATTAAATTAAATTTAATTATTATTATTTTTATTATAATTATTAATTATTATTATACTTGTAATTAAACTTTATTTAACCAAAAGAATTAAACTTACAGCGAAGACCGATTAAACTGCGAATAATTCACTTTTTATTCTATATTGTTTGTATTTTATTTATTTAAAATTATTTGTAACATCGGAATTCAAAATTAAAGATTTAAAAAGTATATTTGATCTTGTAATTTTTTTTTTGTTTTTTTATTATTAATAATTGATAACATGAGTTACGTAAAAATGAGCGCCCGCAGCGACGATTAAATGAAAATATTAATAAAAATACGTGAATACTTAGTGCCATAGGTTGCAGTGGGCATCATTGCCAAGACTGTACTTAACTAAAATTAGATATTGCGATGTTTTATGACGAGAGAACGGTAATTATGTTGTATATTAATGATGATTTGTAAATCGTGAAAGTGATACGCGTACAAACTTTGTTTTGTTTCCAATCACATTTAATTATTATTAATTATTTTGATTTTTTTTCACTCGTTCTCTCGTCTCGCATTGTTTTACCTCTTCACTCAGTAACTCGCTCAATATTAATAAAACGTAAATACTTTTTTAAATGCATTTATACTTATTGCTACTTAATATGTGCAGTCGTGAACTGTTATGTGTTGTATGTAATGCAAAAATATTTTACGAGTGAATTGGACGAGTCTTTTATCGTAAAATATATTCAATATTTTTTTCGCTTTATCAGAGGAATTTTTTTTTAAATTTACTTCTGAAAAATTTTGAATTCTTTTTAAATAATTGATCTCGAACAATGCGATACAATCCGTGATATTTGTTTTTTTTTATTTTAAAAAATATTCCATTTTAAAATCAAAAGTTTTTATGGAGCTGTGGATATTTTTTAAAATATTTGGTTACATATTTATACAATTTTTTAAATAAAAAATTTTATAATTATAACCAGAAAGAAAAAAAACAATTAAAAAAAAATTAATGGTTATCGAAAGCATTTGTTGTCGAATTAGTTAACGTTATTTTTTTTATTATTATTATTTCTTGTTTCGTATAGATATATTGTTTGCATAATTTGTTATAATGTTTAATAATAATAATTACAGTTAAAAATAAAATATACGTAAGCGATTAATTAATGATGATTATTAAAGGCTCACATACAATACGCGATTTAATAAAATAATAAGTAAAGAGATTATTATAATTATTAATTATTAAAATAAATTAATTCATTGATTATCAATTGTTGTGACCGAACTTCCAGGCTCTGGAATAATTTATTGCTAAATTGAACATGATAAATAAATTGGTAAACAATAAAATGGATTTGCGGATACCACGAGTAATAAGGTACTCGAAATAACGGGAAGTATAAGCGTGAAAATTGTACATGTGTGTGTTATATATCTTAAAATTTAATCGTAAAAGATAAGATAATAAAAAAGCATTATAAAAATAATAAAATAAAAAAAGAAGAAAATTATAAAAAAGATAACTATTGAAATAACTCACTTGGACATTGTATACGACTAGAATCATAGTGATATAATATATTACCTTAATAATAAAAATAATAATAATGTTTAAACTATTGTCTCAATCAACCTATTTTCATTATTATATATAAATAAATGTTAGCCTTGTTGAGTTAAAAAAAAAACAAATGACGATTCGCATTACTAATTACTAATTAGCATAAGAGTCCGTGATACTTTTATTATTTATTGCTTTCTTCTTTTTAATTAAAACTAAAAACTCAAAAGTTATCTGTCATTTTTAACCCAAGGGGCTTATTTTTACTTTTTTGGTGATTAGCGATCAGTAATGCGGATTTTTAATTAAATCATAAGTTACTTTTCTAATTACTTGCTAAATAATTTTAAGTCAAAAATAAATTAATTGATAAGTGGATCGACTCGTCAAAAATTCTCAAGGAAGACTTGGATGCTCCTACTTCGAAATTTTGTTGTTGGCTGGACTCGCACTTCAAATTTGAATCTACAAATTAAGTTAAAAATTTTATTTATTTATTAAAAAAAATTAATAAATTTTTGTCAGATCGTGAGATGATCTTGACAAAAGTTAAACTTTTTAAAAATAATTTATTTGTAGATATTCTAAAATAATTAACCGACTGCGTGTGATTCCCCAAAGGTACTAGGGACTAGGTGAAGATTT